CTAGAAATACAAAGTCTGTCACGGCCCCCACATTTTCTCCCTCTATTTCCCAGTTGTCAATCATTCTTGTTGAAAACTAGTAATACTACTGCACTACAAAAGAATCAATAGGGGTTTATGTACTAGTACTGCTGCTGCTACTACTACTAGTAGTAGTACTGCTACTGTACCACTAAGAATCAATAGGGGTTTCTGTACTACTGCTGCTGTTGCTACTACTACAAGTACTACTGTTCTATGAAAGAATCAGTAGGGGTTTATGTACTACTACTGCTGCTACTACTACTATTGTATTACTAAAGAATCAATAGGGGTTTCTGTACTACTGCTGCTGCTACTAGTCATAGTAGTATTGCACTATTAAAGAATCAATAGTGCTTCTGTACTACTGTTACTACTATTACTACTACTACTGTACTAATACAGAATCAATAGGGGCTTCTATACTACTGCCACTGTACTACTAAAGAATCAATAGGGGTTTCTATACTATTGCTGTGATTACTAGTAATACTACTGCACTACAAAAGAATCAATAGGGGTTTATGTACTAGTACTGCTGCTACTACTACTACTACTAGTAGTAGTAGTGCTACTGTACCACTAAGAATCAATAGGGGTTTCTGTACTACTGCTGCTGTTGCTACTACTACACGTACTACTGTTCTATGAAAGAATCAGTAGGGGTTTATGTACTACTACTGCTGCTACTACTACTAGTAGTGTATTACTAAAGAATCAACAGGGGTTTCCATACTGCTGCTGCTACTAGTCATAGTAGTATTGCACTACTAGAGAATCAATAGTGGTTCTGTACTACTGTTACTATTACTACTACTTCGGACAATAGATGTATGCAGCTTTTAGTGGGACAAGGACTGGAACGGTGACTCGACCGATTGTTTAATGGTTTTAATAACTGTTTTGATATTTGATGATGTACTGTTTTTAATATGATATATGTTTAAAGTGTAGTTTTACTATTGTAGTTGTAAGGCATCGAATTTCTGCCATTATCTATATGTAAACCACTTTGAGTCCCCCTAGGGGTGAGAAAAGCGGTATATAAAGGCTGTAAATAAAGAAATGTACTAATACAGAATCAATAGGGGCTTCTGTACTACTGCCGCTGTACTACTAAAGAATCAATAGGGGTTTCCATACTACTACTACTATGGATAAGAGCCCAGGGAAGTCGACACAAGCCATGCCTTGTAACTAACCATTGAGTGGAGCCATATCACCAGCTTTCTACACAAAGTTACTTATTCTCACGACCCACTTAGCAGAGTACTATAGTTATCTAACATCTCAATGCCCACTCAGCCAAAGCCTAAGGCAAGAACTGTACCTAGGGATCCGAGTTAAGTACGTCAACACTTTAGTCACAGCTTCCTCGGGCATCTGGTTGAAAGTTGAGTTTTCCGGAAATGTTATGATCCAGCCGTTGTCTTTTCCTCGCCCCCCTAAGTGGAAAAATGGAGGAGAAACAGAGGAAAATAGTACAGAGCAACAATGCTAAGTAGTGAGTAGTTCACATTGTAAACAATAAGTCACTCTTTCTTCATTAACACCAATGACTTCCTAACTGCTGGGCACCTAACTTCCTAACTGCTGGGCACCTAACTGCTGGGCACCACTTTGATCCCTGTTCAAAGTGTAGTTTCCCATGAGAATGTCCCTGAGTAGTGTGGGGATGATGGTGTGCTTTCTGAATTGTTACCAGAGAGTTCCCATGATAGGGAACATGAAAACAGCTCGGCACCTGGCCCGGCTGCAGAAATTAATGAGCAAATAGATAATGAGGGGATTAGTCAAAACAGGAGAGCCAAACAGTGGCTTCGGCGGTCTGCCAGGCTTCGAGAGAAAAAGATAAGAAGTTCTCAGTTAAAATGAAACCAATTTCTGAATGCTAGAGACTTAACAAGGAGATAAAAGTCCCAAGTGCAGGATATGTAGTCGGATGAAGCATCGTTTGGAATCAAGTCAAGATCTCGTTCTTGTTCATGGAAGTTTTGATTGGGGAATTCATGTTTTACGTGTCTTTGTTTCATGGTTTTGATTCTTGGATTTTATACTCTATATTCATGCCTTGGGTTCATGTTTCCTGATTCTTTGAATGTCATTTGGAAAGTGTGGACTTTGTTTTTTATGGGCTTTGCTGAACTTTACCCTGGACTATTTTTGTTTCTGCTTATCTTCTTACCTAATTGGATTTACTTATTTCTTTGAAGTGCTTTTTACTTGCTGCTTTTTAATTATCTCCAATAAAAGGATTGTTTTCCAATCAACGGTGTGGTGTTTAAAGTCAGAGGGCTTCTCCCGGCTTTCGGTGGACCCCCTGATCTGTTTTTTGGGAGCCTCCTGAAATTGGGAGGGCAGATATCTGTTTTTGCTCTGGGGTGCTGAAAGATCTGTTTTCTATCAGTCTGTTATGGGGGGTGAGGGTTTCCACCCAGGCTCCCCTTTCCGGCATATTAGGCATTTAAGCTGTTACTCTAGAGGAGAGGCACTCAGCTGCAAGCAGGCACAAGATTCGAGGCTTCTTATCTGTTTCTTACTCTAGAGGAGGCACTTGGCTGCAGGCAAGCATGTGTGCTTTCTGGGTCTGAATAGGCTGAAAAAGTCTCCCCCGGCTTATACTCGAGTCAATGTTATTTATTATTTTACTTTGTTGTTGTTATTATTATTATTACATTTATTATTTTATTATTGTTATTATTGCATTTATTATTTTACTCATTATTATTATTTTTATTATTATTATTATTATTTTCTTTATTTATTATTATTGGAAGATATGTAAGCATTTTTACATTGACGAAGGTTAGAATAATGGTTTAATCAGAGTGTTGCAACCCAGAGCAGGAAACTGGACCCTCAGACAACAATCCACCACACTTGACTTCAGGAAAACAATCCTTTTTATTGATGAAAGATGAATACAAAATAGAAGAAATATGCAAAGGTAAAAAGTCACAGTAAAAATCAGGAACAAGAAATGTCCACAAACAAGATCATGAAATCCACAGCAAAACTGCTGAATCCTGGAACCTGTTAGCAATCCACTAACCGTACTTGGAACAACTAGAAAACCTCAGAGGAACAAGGCCACTTGAATCAGGAGACCTGGAAAAGCTTGCACATGAATCTGGAACAATGCCTGGTCTGAAGCTGCATTCAGGCCAGGCATACTTAAGGCCGAGAAATCTATTGTGAGACATGCCTGAAGATTTTGTTTGCATTTCTCTCAATCTGGCTGACCTACGTAAACTTTGTGCTTCACCCCGGCTCTGCCAAATCTGCCCCCGCCTATCCTCATTAGGGAGACCAGGTGTCAGATTCTCTGGAGAACTAAGACTGGGAGGAAAAGGGAGTGAAACGTCTCCGCTCGGCTCGGAATGCATGTTCTCATGGGAATTCTGACTTTCACTTTCCAAGGCTGTAGGATTTTCACTACTCAAACCATCATCATCTAAATTGGCCTCAGAATTCACATTGACATCTACATTGGCATCAGGAAATACAATCAGAGAATCAGGTTCAGGTTCACACACAGGCTGAACCCCAACACTGTCTACAGTCTTATCTTGAATTACAGTTTTATGTAAATATTCAAAAACATTTAACATACTGATGCCTAAATGTAATTTTATTGGTATCTATTTTTATTTTGAAATTTACCAGTAGCGGCTGCATTTCCCACCCTCGGCTTATATTCGAGTCAATCCATTTTCCCAGTTTTTTTGTGGTAAAATTAGGTGCCTCGGCTTATATTCGGGTTGGCTTATACTTGAATGCTAGAGACTTAACAAGGAGATATATCTGGGGGGGGGGGGGGATCTGCTTCAACAATTTGGGAATGCATCAATGGATGCAAAGATAAGACAAGAGATTCCACCTAAGCATTAGGAAGAACTCATAGATTAGAACAATTTGAGACAGCCAGAATGGCGAAGTGGTCTGAGTGTTGGACTTCCTCTCCAGGAATCTCTAGGTCAGTGGTTCTCAACCTTCCTAATGCCGTGACCCCTTAATACAGTCCCTCATGTTGTGGTGACCCCCAACCATAACATTACTTTCGTTGCTACTTCATAACAGTCATTTGACTACTGTTATGAATCATAATGTAAATATCTGATATGCAGGATGCATTTTCATTCACTGGACCAAACTGGGCACAAATACCCAATACACCCAAATGTGAATGCTAGTGGGGTTGGGCGAGAATTGATTTTGTAATTTGGGAGTTGTAGTTGCTGGGATTTATAGTTCACTTATAATCAAAGAGCATTCTGAACTCCACCAGCGATGGATTTGAACCAAACTTGGCTCCCATGACCAATGGAAAACACTGGAAGGGTTTGATGGGCATTGACCTTGAGTTTGGGAGTTGTAGTTCACCTATATCCAGAGAGCACTGTGGACTCATGCAATGGTGGATCTGGACCAAACTTGGCACAAATACTAAATATGCCCAAATGTGAATGCTGGTGGAGTCTGGGGAAAATAGATCTTGACATTTGGGAGTTGTAGTTGCTGGGATTTATAGTTCACTTACAATCAAAGAGCATTCTGAACTCCACCAACGATAGATTTGAACCAAACTTGGCTCCCATGACCAATGGAAAACACTGGAAGGGTTTGATGGGCATTGACCTTGAGTTTGGGAGTTGTAGTTCACCTATATCCAGAGAGCACTGTGGACTCATGCAATGGTGGATCTGGACCAAACTTGGCACAAATACTCAATATGCCCAAATGTGAACACTGGTGGAGTCTGGGGAAAATAGATCTTGACATTTGGGAGTTGTAGTTGCTGGGATTTATAGTTCATTACAATCAAAGAACATTCTGAACTCCACCAACGATAGAATTGGCTCAAACTTCCCACATGGAATCCCCATGACCATCAGAAAATACTGTGTTTTCTGATGGTCTTTGGCGACCCCTCTGACACCCCTTTGTGACCCCCTCAGGGGTCCCGACCCCCAGGTTGAGAAACACTGCTCTAGGTCCTTCAACACAAGAGCCTATACTATGCTAGATGGGGCTCCTGTAATTGAATAGCACATACAAAGATCAGGCAAATCTCTCACTCCTTTTCGTTTTGGTGGGAAGGAAGGGATGTGGCAGTGACCACCTGGTTTCTCCCCACTTCCCAACGCCAGCTTTTGTCCTATAAAATAAATATACCGTGAGACAAAGAGAACAAAGACACACAACAGTACTCACCTGAAAGGAAAGCAAACTGTTTCATCAAGTCATCAACAATGTCTCTTGCCCGGGTTGGAAGTGCCGATGCTGGGAAAGAAAGCAACATGAAATGGCATGAGTGAGCCACGTGTTTTTTTTCAGTCTGAGGACTCCTTGCCTCACAATTTATTTATTATTTATTTAAAACACTTATATTCCACCCTTCTCACCCTGAAGGGGACTCAGACTGAAACAACATATACATGGCAAACATTCAATGCCTGGGTACAACACATAAACATTAAAAAATATTTATCTAAATATTAAAATATACCATTTAAAATAACACAATTTAAAACCATCCTAGCCATCCGCATCAAATCCAATTGGCCCTGTCATCTTTCCCATTGTCGCTTCATTGCCCTGTCCCAAAAGCTTGGTCCCACAGCCAAGTTTTTACCATCCTTCTAAAGGACAGGAGGGAGGGGGCGACCTGATCTCACAAGGAAGGGAGTTCCATAGCCTAGGGCAATCACCGAGAAGGCCCTGTCTCTCGTCCCCACCAATCGCGCCTGTGACAATGGCGGGACGGAAAGCAGGGCCTCCCTGGAGGATCTTAATCTCCGTGATGGTACATAGAGGGAGATGCGTTTGGACAGGTAATTTGGGCCAGGGTCGTTTAGGGCTTTATAGGCCAAAGCCAGCACTTTGAATTGTGCCCGGTAGCAAACTGGCAGCCAGTGGAGTTGGTGTACAGGGGCGGCTCAACCCATTACGCAAAGTAAGCATTCGCAGTATAGTTGATTTTGCCCAGGGGCGCTCTTGAGGCACTCTTGGGGGAAAATAGACCTTGACATATGTGAGTTGTAGTTACTGGGATGTATAGTTCACCTAAAATCAAAGAGCATTCTGAACTCCAGACCAATGATGGAATTGAACCAAATATGGCACACAGAACTCCCATGACAAACAGAAAATATATATCAATGATTGGTTGGGGGGGGGGGTGGCACCAAAATACTGTTTGCTTACCGTTGAAAATTACTTAGGGCCGCCTCTGCTGGCGTAACATGGGAGTTGTATGCTCCCTGTATGCCGCCCCAGTTATTAACCTGGCTGCCTTTCGTTGGACTATTTGAAGCTTCCAAGCAGTCTTCAAAGGCAACCCCACGTAGAGTGCGTTGCAGTAGTCTATTCTAGATGTAATGAGAGCGTGGACCACCGTGGCCAAGTCTGACTTCCCAAGGTACGGGCACAGCTGGCGCACAAACTCTATAAAAAAGTAATCGGGCCACCATAACTCAAGATGTGACTTGAAGGCACATAAACATACAAGATCCGACCTAGGTAACTTCTCCCCAAATGCTGCAGCCTGGAACATCTAGAGCAATGTCAACGTTGTTTTCAACCAAGGCCACATCAACCGTATGGTTGTAATTGTATGACTGTATAAATGTAAGTATGTTGCCCAGGCATTGAAGCCTTGCAGGCCACATAAAATGAAGCGGTGGTCCGGAGTTGGCCCACAGGCTTTGCATTTGATCTTGTGTTCTGATCAGTCGTTCCCAACCTGTGGTCTGTCGACCACCAGTGGTCTGCAATAGGCTTGGTTGATCAAGGAAAAAAATGATTCTAAACTGTCTCGCCTGCCTCACGTTTTCGCCATCCACGAGTTCTGTGTGGAGGTCTCAGTGGTCTGTGGAAGTCAGCGCTGAATCGGTTGAACGTACTGTAAATCCATTTTTTTTCCTGATTAATCATGATGCTTTAATTATGTTGAATTTGTAAGAATTAAAACACATCCTTCATATTGGATATTTACGTTACGATTTGTAACAGTAGCAAAATTACAGTTATAAAGGAGCAACAAAAATAATGTTATGGTTAGGGGTCACCACAACATGAGGAACCTATGAACCCTATGAACCATCAAGGTGGTTAAGATCTTCTGGAAGGACCCTTCTCTCGGTCCCACCACCCTCGCAATTGCGTCTGGTGGGGACGAGGGACAGGGCCTTCTCGGTGGTGGCCCCTCGGCTCTGGAACACTCTCCCGCTGGAGATTCGATCTGCCCCTTGTCTCCTGACTTTTAGAAAGCTGGTAAAATCTTGGCTTTGGAATATGGCATTTGCAGAATAACTCCTGACCACACTGACGGATGGTGATGAATTGTGATTTCACTCTGACGACCTGGCCTTGTGTAATTGTCTGATTGTATTTTAATGTATTTTATGTATTAATGTATTATGAGGCTGTGATGTTTTATACTATTGTCTATGAATCTCCTGTTGTGAATCGGCCTGAGTCCCTCTTCAGAGGTCGAGAAGACCGGGTTTTAAAAGCTCTAAATAAATCTATATAAATAAAAATGTAATATTAGTTCGTGCTACCATCAGAACTCAAAAACCACTGGGGGAATTGACACCAAATTTGGACACAAGACACCTAACAGTCCAATTTATGTCCTCCACTCAAAAAAAAAAATATGATTTTGTCATTTGGGAATTGTCATTGCTGGGATTTATAGTTTACCTACAATCAAAGAGCCAAACTTAGCACACAGGGCTCCCATGACCAACAGAAAAAACTGGAAAGGTTTGGTGGACATTGACCTTGAGTTTGGGAATTATAGTTCACCTACATCTAGAGAGCACTGTGGACTCAAACAATGATGGATCTGGACCAAACTTGGCATGAATATTCCATATGCCCAAATGTGAACACAGATGGAGTTTGGAGGAAATAGACCTTGACATTTGGGATTTGTACTTACTGGGATTTATAGTTCACCTACAATCAAAGAGCATTATGAACTCCACCAATGATGGAATTGAACCAAACATGGCATACAGGACTTCCATGACCAACAGAACACACTGGAAGGGTTTGGTGGGCATTGACCTTGAGTTTGGGTGTTGTAGTTCACCTACATCCAGAGAGCACTGTGGACTTAAATAATGATGGATCTGGACCAAACTTGACACCAAAATTCCATATGTCTAAATATGAACACAGATGGAGTTTGGAGGAAATAGACCTTGACATTTGGGAGTTGTAGTTACTGGGATTTATAGTTCACTACAATTAAAGAGTATTCTGAAACCCACAAACGACCGAAATGGGACAAACTTCCCACACAGAACCCCCATGACCAACAGAAAATACTTAAGACCATCCAGTCCAACTCTCTTCACCAGGGCAAGAAAATCAGAGCCCTCCTGACAAAAAGCCATCCAGTCATAAATAGAGATAGATAGATAGATAGATAGATAGATAGATAGATAGATAGATAGATAGATATGATTCTCTCTCTCACACACAGATATAGTTTGATAGATTTGAAAGAGACCCCTAAAGAAGGACTATGATATGTTGCATATTCCAGAGTAGGCAAACCAGACACTCTCCACATCAACACTGACAAAGAAACAACAAGAAATACTGTTTACTCACAAGCGTAAAAGAATTACATATATTAGAAACCAACACTTTCTCATTACTTTATTTTCCAGATCACCAGACTGGGCCACAGCAACGCGTGGCAGGGGACAGCTAGTAATAAATAAATAAATAACCATATTTAGGGGTTCCGGTGTTAGAAAGATTGAGAACCACTGGTCTAAAGGCAACCCTGACTAGTATTTGGACAGGAGACCACCAATGCATCCCAGATTACATTTCAGAGAAAGAAAATACTTCTGAGTATACATGAAAATGTGATGAAGTTCATGAGATCGGTCTACGTCAACAGGTGACTCGAAAACACATTATTTCAGGGTTGGCCACATACTCGAGTCAGAGATACAGTGCATGCCTTAATTAATGGTGTTTTAATAAGGGAGGGATGCTTCCCGCGCTTCCCGCTGGCTCTCTCTTTCCCCTTTTCCTTTCAGAAGGTCCACGCCATCTGTAAACAGCAGGCTCACAACACACACCTGTCTGGCAGACTCAAAAACTCATTACTCTCCTTGATAGGAATCAATTGCTCTTTGCAGAACACAATGCCAACTGTGTTCGGTTTATAAAAAGGACAGCCAAAAGCTTTGTCAGAGGGTTGCAATGCCACTGTTGAAACCCAAAATAGCCAGAGATGTAAGGAGATGGCGGTATTTCACTCACAACCGCTGCTGAAAAAGCCATCACTGGACCCCACCCAATTCGTCAACTATCGGCCAGTTTCCAATCTTCCCTATTTGGGCAAAGTCCTGGAACGTGTGGTGGCCGCGCAACTCCAGGAGTTCTTGGTAGACACGGATTATCTGGATCCGGCGCAGTCTGGCTTTAGGCCGGGACATGGTACTGAGACAGCCTTGGTCGCCTTAGTGGATGATCTGCGCCGGGAACTGGACAGGGGGAGTGTGTCCCTGTTGGTTCTGCTGGACCTCTCAGCGGCCTTCAATACCATCGACCACGGTATCCTTCTGGGACACCTCGCGGGAATGGGCCTCGGGGGTACTGCTTTGCAGTGGCTCCAGTCCTTCCTCGAGGGTCGCTCCCAGAAGGTTATTTATTTGTCGTGTCAGAACAGCCAAACCATTATATTACATTTCTAACAGAACAAAGCAAACAAACAGAAAAATACAACAACTTGTGAGTTTGGTAGTTGGTTAAATGTCCTTTGACCAGTATCTGGCCACTTGGAGTGCTTCCGGTGTTGCTGCAAGAAGGTCCTCCATTGTGCATGTGGCAGGGCTCAGGTTGCATTGCAGCAGGTGGTCAGTGGTTTGCTCTTCTCCACACTCGCATGTCGAGGATTCCACTTTGTAGCCCCATTTCTTGAGGTTGGCTCTGCATCTCGTGGTGCCAGAGCGCAGTCTGTTCAGCGCCTTCCAAGTCGCTCTGTGTGCCCAGGGGGGAGTCTCTCATTTGGTATCAGCCATTGGTTGAGGTTCTGGGTTTGAGCCTGCCACTTTTGGACTCTCGCTTGCTGAGGTGTTCCAGCGAGTGTCTCTGTAGATCTTAGAAAACTATGTCTAGATTTAAGTCGTTGGCGTGCTGGCTGATACCCAAACAAGGGATGAGCTGGAGATGTCTCTGCCTTGGTCCTTTCACTATTGGCTGCTATTTCCCGGCGGATGTCAGGTGGTGCAATACCGGCTAAGCAGTGT